TCGTTTTTACGAGTCATACGGGCATATTTTTGGCTGAGCCTACGGGCTCAGGAAACCCACGATAAAAATGACCTTGTCGCATGCAACCCTCGTGGGGGGTGGCTGAATACTGAATCAAGCCGAACTTCTCGACTTGATGGTCGAACTCTCTGCTTTTGAGCAGAAAGGAACCCGGACGAGGTTCCGCCGAAGGGCAGAATCTCGTTCGGGGTGAAAGACCTACCCGATCTCGTTTTTGCGAGTCATACGGGCATATTTTTGGCTGAGCCTACGGGCTCAGGAAACCCACGATAAAAATGACCTTGTGTCGCATGCAACCCTCGTGGGGGGGTGGCTAGATACTGAATCAAGCCGAGCTTCTCGGCTTGATGGTCGAACTCTCTGCTTCTGAGCAGAAAGGAACCCGGACGAGGCTCCGTCGAAGGGCAGAATCTCGTTCGGGGAAAAATGACCAACCCGATCTCGTTTATACGGGTTATACGGGCATTTTTTGGCTGAGCCTGCGGACTCGGGAAACCCACGATAAACTCGGCCTTGTGCCACATGCAACCCTCGTGGGGGGGGGGCTAGATACCGAATCAAGCCGAGAAGCTCGGCTTGACGGTCGAACTCTCTGCCTCTGAGCTGAGAGGAACCCGGACGAGGCTCCGCCGAAGTGCAGAGTCTCGTTCGGAGAGGTTGACCAACCCGATCCCGTTTATACGGGTTCTACGGGCATCTTTTGGGAAACCCACGTTAAACTCGGCCCTGTGCCACATGAAAACCTCGTGAGGACGTAGCTAGATACCGAATCGAGTCGAGCCGATAGTAGTTCACTCCAAACCAGACTGACAGTCATACTAACACCTTCCACCTCTTGTATTATTATTTCGTGTAATATACCTTCGTTATTTCTACTCTTGTGTTCGTGTTGTTCTTTCTTTTGTCTCAACCTGGACCATAACAGTTTTTTAAATATTCTACTCCCAGTAACTCATTCTGTCTCAGTGGCTTTGCTGCTTTACTTGGATGGATTCGATTAAAAAACAAAACATTTTCGGTTAATTGATTATCTATTTTCACATAGGTTCATTATTTCGAATTTTGGAGTTAGTATTCTAATCAGTATGGTATGGAAGTATTATTGATCCCATATTGATGAACCACCACTCTTGATACATTATAAGAAGTTTCAAAGCAACTAATTTTGAGTGCCTATCTATACTGTCTTATAAACATTGATCTGCCAGCCTGCAGTTGGGGATTCGTCTTCAGACTGGTTAAGGCAGAGAGCATCCTCAGATTGGGCTATGTTGAAGGGCAGAGTCTCGTCTCGGAAAACACCTACCCGACTCCTGTTTTATACGGCGTCTACGGTAAATTTTCAACTGAGCCTACAGAATCGTGAAACCCACATTAAATTTGTCCTTGTGCCACATCTGACTGCGTGGAGCAGTTGGTAGATACCGTCTTACAAAAATTGATAGCACGTGTAACTTGAAAAGAAAATAATGACATAATCAACATATGAATTTTTCGCATCACTTCAAATAAAAAGGTTAAGAAGGAAATGGCCATCAATACTGGAATGAGCGATAACAACTACTGGACTTAAGAAATCTGTTTCCCTAAAAAATAGTTTTCAGAGAAAGATTTTATAAATTTCTGCCAAAAGCAATACTGGCTGCTCGGTCAAATGTTTCCTTATAGGGAAACGGCTATTATTACCATTATTATTACCGTCTCATTTTCAGCAAAATATTTAGGAAACATATTTTTCCCTGATCACCATTCCTCCTCTTTGAAGAGAAAATTATCAATTGCAAGACAAGTGCCTCTCGTTTGAGAATCACTGTGTAAAGTATCGTTTTGGAGTAGCATTTTGGCGTTTATAAGCAACGTTTCTAAGTTCTTTTGTAAAAGACACTCTAATGTTATTGCATGTTTCCTTCTAATTTTCGAATTTGTATTCTGCGACTAGAAGAGTCAAGATGCCAAGGGAAGAAATTAGTAGTGAAAAGCATCTTCGTTTGGAGTTGAGAATCGATGCTGTCAATTACTACATAAGAAAAAGGCAAAAAAAAAATTATAAATAAACCTTCAAATATATGGAAAAACGGTCTCAGGTAGGAAATAGAATGACATCATCCAAGAAACCTGATTTAATTCCTGCTGTAGATAAGAACGTCTTAGTTGCAAGGAAACCGTAAAATCATTAGATACTGTCAAGAACATTCTTTCACGAATGCGCGTGCACACACACACACTCACATATGCATATATATAAACACACACACAATATATATATATATATATATATATATATATATATATATATATATATATATACACACAATCTTTCTTTCTGTGTCTCTTTCTATTCTTTCTCCCCCCTCCTCTGCAATTTTCGTTCTCTTTCTATTCTTTTTTTTACTCCCTCCTCCTTTGCAATTTTCACTGTCTTTCTCTTTCTATTCTTTTTTTACTACCTCCTCCTTTGCAATTTTCACTCTCTTTCTCTTTCTATTCTTTTTTTTACTCCCTCCTCCTTTGCAATTTTCACTCTCTTTCTCTTTCTATTCTTTTTTTTACTCCCTCCTCCTTTGCAATTTTCACTCTCTTTCTCTTTCTATTCTTTTTTTTACTCCTCCTCCTTTGCAATTTTCACTCTCTTTCTCTTTCTATTCTTTTTTTTCCCTCCTCCTTTGCAATTTTCACTCTCTTTCTCTTTCTATTCTTTTTTTTACTCCCTCCTCCTTTGCAATTTTCACTCTCTTTCTCTTTCTATTCTTTTTTTTTCCCTCCTCCTTTGCAATTTTCACTCTCTTTCTCTTTCTATTCTTTTTTTTTGTCCTCCTCCTTTGCAATTTTCACTCTCTTTCTCTTTCTATTCTTTTTTTTTACTCCTCCTCCTTTGCAATTTTCACTCTCTTTCTCTTTCTATTCTTTTTTTTACTCCCTCCTCCTTTGCAATTTTCACTCTCTTTCTCTTTCTATTCTTTTTTTACTCCCTCCTCCTTTGCAATTTTCACTCTCTTTCTCTTTCTATTCTTTTTTTTTACTCCCTCCTCCTTTGCAATTTTCATTCTGTTTCTCTTTCTATTCTTTTTTACTCCCTCCTCCTTTTGCAATTTTCACTCTCTTTCTCTTTCTATTCTTTTTTTTTACTCCCTCCTCCTTTGCAATTTTCACTCTCTTTCTCTTTCTATTCTTTTTTTACTCCCTCCTCCTTTGCAATTTTCACTCTCTTTCTCTTTCTATTCTTTTTTTTACTCCTCCTCCTTTGCAATTTTCACTCTCTTTCTCTTTCTATTCTTTTTTTTACTCCCTCCTCCTTTGCAATTTTCACTCTCTTTCTCTTTCTATTCTTTTTTTTTACTCCCTCCTCCTTTGCAATTTTCACTCTCTTTCTCTTTCTATTCTTTTTTTTACTCCCTCCTCCTTTGCAATTTTCACTCTCTTTCTCTTTCTATTCTTTTTTTTTCCCCTCCTCCTTTTGCAATTTTCACTCTCTTTTTCTTTCTATTTTTTTTTTACTCCCTCCTCCTTTTCAATTTTCACTCTCTTTCTTTTCTATTCTTTTTTTTACCCAGTCCTCCTTTGCAATTTTCGCTCTCTTTCTCTTTCTATTCTTTTTTTTTACTCCTCCCTCCTTTGCGATGTTCGCTCTCTTTCTCTTTCTATTCTTTTTTTTACTCCCTCCTCCTTTGCAATTTTCACTCTCTTTCTCTTTCTATTCTTTTTTTTTACTCCCTCCTCCTTTTTGCAATTTTCGCTCTCTTTCTTTTCTTTCTTTTTTTTTTACTCCTCCTCCTTTGCAATTTTCGCTCTCTTTCTCTTTCTATTCTTTTTTTTACTCCCTCCTCCTTTGCGATGTTCGCTCTCTTTCTCTTTCTATTCTTTTTTTTACTCCCTCCTCCTTTGCAATTTTCACTCTCTTTCTCTTTCTATTCTTTTTTTTACTCCCTCCTCCTTTGCAATTTTCGCTCTCTTTCTCTTTCTATTCTTTTTTTTACTCCCTCCTCCTTTGCGATGTTCGCTCTCATTCTCTTTCTATTCTTTTTTTTACTCCCTCCTCCTTTGCGATGTTCGCTCTCTTTCTCTTTCTATTCTTTTTTTTACTCCCTCCTCCTTTGCAATTTTCACTCTCTTTCTCTTTCTATTCTTTTTTTTACTCCCTCCTCCTTTGCAATTTTCGCTCTCTTTCTCTTTCTATTCTTTTTTTTACTCCCTCCTCCTTTGCAATTTTCACTCTCTTTCTCTTTCTATTCTTTTTTTTACTCCCTCCTCCTTTGCGATGTTCGCTCTCTTTCTCTTTTTTTTACCCTCCTCCTTTGCGATGTTCGCTCTCTTTCTCTTTTTTTTTTACTCCCTCCTCCTTTGCGATGTTCGCTCTCTTTCTTTTCTATTCTTTTTTTTTTTACTCCCTCCTCCTTTGCAATTTTCGCTCTCTTTCTCTTTCTATTCTTTTTTTTACTCCTCCTCCTTTGCAATTTTCACTCTCTTTCTCTTTCTATTCTTTTTTTACTCCCTCCTCCTTTGCAATTTTCACTCTCTTTCTCTTTCTATTCTTTTTTTTACTCCCTCCTCCTTTGCAATTTTCGCGCTCTTTCTATTCCTTTCTCTTACATCCTCCTCCTCCTGCAATTTTCGCTCTTTCTCTTTCGATTCCTTTCTCTTACTTCCTCCTCCTCTTCAATTTCCGCTGTTTCTTCTTCTTCTTCTTCTTCTTCTTCTTCTTCTTCTTCTTCTTCTTCTTCTTCTTCTTCTTCTTCTTCTTCTTCTTCTTCTTCAGTTGCTATATTGCTCCCTGCTTATCCACTCTTTCTATTTATATTTTGCGTCATTTTCCACTCTCTATTCAATTTTTCTTGCCTCTCTCTGTCTTTAATTTGCGCTGTCCTTTTTTCTCCATTTATGGTCTTTGCCTTTTTTTCTCTTCTCTCATTCTTTCACACTCTCTCTCTCTCTCTCTCTCTATCTATCTATCTAGCTAGCTAGCTAGCTAGCTGTGTGTGGTAATGGGAGTGTCTCTCACTCGCTCTTTTCTCGCTGTCGTTCATTGTCTTAGTCTTATTTATTTTGCCCTATCCCTGTATTTTTTCAATTTCTTTCCCTCTCTCTTCCCTTCTGCTTTTTTAAATCTCTCTCCCTCTCTCTCTCTCTCTCTCTCTCTCTATTTTCTCTCTCTCTATTTTCTCTATCTTTCCTTATCGCTTGGTTTTATTCCATCTTTTTCTCCAACACTATATCTTTTTCTTTTTCTCCCCCTCTTTATTATTCTCTACTTTTATCTCTTTCAATTCTCTCTATCCCTCTCATACTCTATCTATGTTCTTCCCCCGTTATCTCTCACTTTCTCACTCACTCGATCTTTTCTCCCTGCCCTTCGTTATGTCTATTATTCACTCTTTTTCTCTATCCCTGTCTTTTTAGCTTTTTTTCCCTCTATCGTCTTCTCTGCTTTTTCTACTTTTTCTTCTTCTCTCACTCTCTCTCCCTCTCTTCTCTCTATCCTTCATCTTTTTGCTTTAGTCTCTCTCTTTATCTATTTCTGTTTTTTCTCCCACTCTCTCTCTTCTTTTCCTTATCTCTTAAAGTTAATCCGTCTTTCTATGCAACTCTCTAGGTCTTTTCTTTCTCTCCCTCCCTCTTATTCTCTGTTTTTCTCTTTCCTCTCTCTCTCTCTCTCTCTCTTTCTTATTCTCCCCCAGCCTCTCTCTTAAACAACCAAATACACGTATCGTAACAAAACAGAAATAAACAAAAGTTAAAATAGCAATAACACATTGGCAAATAACATTTTTGTAAGGCTTTATCTATTCAGCTAGGCTTCCAAAAGAGCAAAGAAAATGGTATCACTTTTGCCAATATGCCTCTGGAGTTTTTAAATGGTTTCTTCGAAAATTCTTCACGACGCGCAATGAATACTGGATTAGTAATCATGAAGTCAAAAAAAGAAACATATTTAACATATGGAATCATTTTTGTTCGTATTCTGTGAAGAGAAATAAGGAGAATATGACTGTGTTTGCTTGTCTGTGAATTTGTTTGTCGGAAAGTGAGAAAAACGAGAAATCGGAGACATTTTCAAAGATTTTTCAAGTATGTTTATTAATAAGAATTACCTTTCATATGAAATAGAGATTATTTTAAAATTTTCAACTAGTGAATATTTTGTCTGAATTCTTAAATGATGTATTTTCATTATTTAATTTTTGATTACTTTTATTTTGTGTGTTAGTTGTGTTCTGTTTTAATTCTTTTTGTTTGTTTGTTTTTTAATGTCGTTATGCTTAATGGCAGAACAGAGTAGCCTCCCTTCTTTCATCAACTTTTAATAGTTTTTATCTGTTTAAATATTTTGTTTCTTTTATTTTCATGTGTAAATTTTTATATGTTTTTTAATTAAAATCTATAAGAAAGAGGTAAAAATATTTGTACATATTAAGAAATGTTTTATTAGGATCTGTTGTAACCTAAGAATATTTATTGAACAGAAAAATCAAATGATAGTTGGTAATGAACGATAATACTTAGGACAAGAACAACACATATAAGATTCGTCAGCGTCGCGTAGATGTAGTAGTCAACTTCTAGAAGGGAGTCAACTGAATTCCACAATGAATCTCCGCCTGCATGATATCTACCAACCGTACCACGCGGTCAGATGTGGCACAAGGCCGAATTTCATGTGGGGTATCTGAGCCCATAGGCTCGGCAAAAATTAGTCGTAGACCCCGTATAAAACGGAGTCGGGTAGCTGTTTCTCGAGACGAGACTCTGCCCTTCGACATAGCTTTGTCTGGGGATCCTCTCTCTCCAGAGACAGTTTGACCAGCACAGATAGAGACGAATCTCTAAATGCAGGATATTTATTGTATATAAAATACAATTGTGGCACAAGGCCAAAATGGGGAGGGTTTGAGGCTGGTCATCACTATCTATCTTATACCTAGCTAATCTGATTCCCGACCCATTCACACATTAACGAATCTCTAAATTCAGACCAACATACATTTACTATTGTATTTATGTGAATGGGGACAGACTCGTCATTGTCTGTAGGTATGCAACAGCATGATCTCAGCCATAATATGGTATTGTGGTGGATGGGTTCTTGTCATGATTGAGGAAATTGTTAGAGTGAATGGGTCGTGAATAGGATTAACTAGATTTAGGATATACAGTGTTGATTAGGCTTTCCCTATTTTTCATTCAGACTTGTGCCACAGATTCATTTACCCACATTAATTAAATGAATACATTCTATGACGATTAGAGTTAAGATTACCCGATTAAATAATGATAGCGAATTAATAATAATTGTAATAATGATGTTAGCTATTTCAATAGAAAAACACTCAACATTCATTGAACGAACATTTAGTTGGTTGGAAATTATAAAATACGTCTCTTAAAACAGTTTTAAAGGAACATATCTTTCTTAAGCCCAATAACTGTTATCGCTCTTTCTAGTCTCAATAGGAGTTTCCTTCTAAGCATTTTGTTTTTAGTTAGAAGGAAAGCTGACATTTTTATTATATCATTAGTAACCTTCTGCTTACATCTGCTATTCATTTTAGTTGTTGCTCTTTTGGAAATATTCAAGCAATATAGTTTTATTTTACTTTGTAATGATTTTTTATTTATGATTCTGTAGCGCCAATCTAATCTCTAATGAGATCAAAATTAATTCATTTGAAATCACTTTTATCTATGAATTTTAATAGAATTATTCGAGTTCACAGGTTAAAATTGTCTCTTTTTTAGCATTTTGCAGTGTTGGATAGCCTATTCAGTCAGTTATGTGCCATGCGTGATACACGCTTAGGCGATCATATATCTTTCAATACATGACTGACGAGGCAGATTTTTTTTCCGCAGTTGGTTGCTATTTCTTTCTACGGTAGACCAGTTGTCAAACAACCCTTCGCAGGTTTTGAATTCAGATTTGTCATTCTCCTGGACCTGTTGCCATCCAAGTCTATAGCACCCGGTCTGTACTGCTATTTACCCATAGCTGGAGGGTGAAGAAGAGGATCCATACCTTTCCCAAGAAAGTAAGTGAATGTATTGGATTCGACTGGAATTCGAACTCGGCTCTCCGAGCCGCTATCCATTACTCCACCGTATATATCTAATTTCCTTATAATCTATACTAAATTTATTATAACTTATCTACACGACCAGGTATTTGAAGTGCTTCGAGTTTATTAATTCTAAATTCTGATTTTTTTTAATGATGCATGCAGGTTAGCTACCATCATTGCTTTCATTCCAAATACAGATTATAGTTTCTGTTATAAAAAAAAAAGTTTATCATACACTACAGGCAAACATTTTTAAAAGTATAAGATTTCTTAAAGTATAAGATAAAATTTTAGTAATTACAGCTTTTATTTTGGCAAAAACTAATAAAAAAAAACTTATAGTTTATAAAAAATTATCATACAACAGCAGAATATGTTGTCTTCCATTTCGTCAATAAGAATACCACCTGCCTTAATTACTGCTTTACAAAATATTAGCATCCTTTCCAGCAGTTTTTGAAAAGGAATTAGAGGATAGACCTTCGCACGTATTCTTCAAGCACTGGAAAAGCTCACCCTCACTCTTTCGGTATTCTCTTCGAACTCTCCTTTGGAATTCAAGTCAAGAGATTGAGGCGACCAAGACATAATTTCCAAAGTTCTGTTCTTTAATCGTTGATTTGATTTAATTTGCATATAATTTAGAAGATTGTTTTGAATCGTTGCCGTGTTGAAAGGTGCATTTTTCCAGTTATGCGTAAACCAGATGTTGTAACATGTCTTTGTAAAATCGAATGATATTGATCTTTTTCATGATTCACTTGACCTGAATCAAATCTCAAGTCTTCTCCTCCCCAATACACGTCAACACCATAACAGACCCACTTAACTGTAAAGATCACACATTCATAATTCAGTCCTAGGTTTTTTTCTCATATATACTCTCCTCCTACTGCAAAAGTTCAAATTTGAACTTGTCTGACCACAATACATTTTGCTATTCTTTCAATGTCCAGTATTTATGCTTTTTATCCATAACAGGCTTTTCTGCTTAATTGCCTTCTGTAACATGGCTTTCTTAATAGCTGTGCAGTGTGGGCTCAAACTTTTTGCTTGTTGTATAAATCCTAGTTTTTGGAGAAGTTGGTAAATAATATTGATTTTTCTTTTTTCGGCTCAAGATCATTCTTATCCAAAAACTGAATACCTATGTCATCGGCGTCATCCCTCTTATCATCTTTCCACTGGCCTCTGGAAGGAAAACACGAACGCTTTTTTTTTTTTTTTTTAATGTTAGTAGTTTCGTTCGGAATGTGGTTCGGATTGTTTAAAAGGACAAGGCCCATTTTTCGCATATGTGCTTTTACACGCACAGATCATAATTTATGAAGATATTAAATAGATTCGAGCTCTCATTTCCTCCTTGTTATACGAGGGTAGGCTGAAAAGTTTATAGACTGACTATGAAGAAATGATGACATAGATGTGAAATCTTACATTCATTAATTTTTCTTCTTCTTAATAACTGAATTGGTTTTTTTTCTACGTAAACTGACTTATGATTGTTCTAAGAAAACTTGAAAAATAACTTCTCTTGAAAATGGACAAAATTTGGCATTGTGGTATAATCAAGCACCTAGAGAACAAAAGGTTTTAACTGTCAAGAGAATTAATGCTGGGTGGGTTGTTACAGTGGACAACTGAATTTAGGAGGGGGGAATGAGTGTCTTAAAGATGACCCAAGGTCTGGATGTCCTTCAACTACTACTACTACCATGGAAAGCATTGATCGTGTTCACCACATTGTGATGGATGACAGGCGATTTACTCTAAATCAAATAGCGAATGCCATTGACCTATCCCGTAAAAGAGATGAGGTTTTGTTTGGTGGGTTCCATGTCATCTGACACCAAATCCGAATCATACCATGCTGATCACATTACGGGAATATCTAACGTTGTTTGAGGCAGTTCCAGCGGGTTTCATTGAACGATTCCTAAGGATGGGTGTTGGATTTATCACATTGATCCAGAGACAGAACGTCAATGAATGCAGTGGAAATAACCCTTTTCACCTGTTCCAAAGAAGACCAAGGTCATTCTTTTGGGGGTGCAAAACGCATTGTGTTGATTGGCTATCTTCAAAACAGCCACACCAACAATGGAGAATACTATACTAACTTGCTGAGGAGGTAATTACATAAGGGTATCAAGCTCAAAGGCTGCCGAGAACTGATGAAATGCTTTTGCACACAAGTCGTTGTTTTCAATATCTGCTGTGCGTGACTCAAGCCTTTAACTTGTTGATCACACTCCACTTTTCTCTTGATTTGACCATCATCAAAAAAACAGTTGGCTGGGAACCAGTATTGCAATGATGATAACGTCATATTTGGTCTTGATTACATTTTTGGATAACAGGATGAATGGTTTTCTTTGAACAATCAGATGCCAATTTGCCTGGAAAAAAACAATTCTCTTATTAATAAAAAGAGTTGAAATGAATGCATGCAAGACTTCAAGGCCCTAGCGTCACGCCTTCATAATCAGGAATTTTTCAGACTACCCTCGTATACCTGTTTGTTAGTAGCCGCGTGCGAATTCCTTCTTATTAGCTTGGTTTTTTTAAAAATTAACCCCATAAACCTAAGTGACCGTCAAACGTATTCCACGCTAGCCATCTTGGTTAATTGT